AAATGTCACACACGTAGGGTTTCTCTCCTGTGTGAGTTCGCATGTGTGTCTTAAGACTGGATAGTTGAGCGCACCTGTAGTCACATGTGTCACATGCATAAGGCTTTTCACCTGTGTGAATGCGCTTGTGTGTCTTGAGGTCAGCCATTCGAGAGCAGCTATAGTCACACGTATCACACGCATAGGGTTTCTCTCCTGTGTGAGTTCGCTTGTGTTTCTTAAGATTGGATAGATGAGTGCACCTGTAGTCACATGTGTCACACTTGTAGGGTTTCTCTCCTGTGTGAGTTCGCTTGTGTTTCTTAAGATTGGATAGATGAGTGCACCTGTAGTCACATGTGTCACACTTGTAGGGTTTCTCTCCTGTGTGAGTTCGCTTGTGTTTCTTAAGATTGGATAGATGAGTGCACCTGTAGTCACATGTGTCACACTTGTAGGGTTTCTCTCCTGTGTGAGTTCGCTTGTGTTTCTTAAGATTGGATAGCTGAGTGCACCTGTAGTCACATGTGTCACACTTGTAGGGTTTCTCTCCTGTGTGAGTTCGCTTGTGTGCCTGGAGAGCATAGGATGTCGTACATTTGTACTCGCATTTGTCACATGTATAGGGTTTCTCTCCCGTGTGAGAGCGCATGTGTGTATTAAAACTGGATAGGTGAGCGCACCTGTAGTCACATGTGTCACATGCATAAGGCTTTTCGCCTGTGTGAATGCGCTTGTGTGTCTTGAGGTGAGTCATATTAGAGCATCTATAATCACACGTATCACACGCATAGGGTTTCTCTCCCGTGTGAGTTCGCTTGTGATTCTTAAGATGGGTTAGTTGAGTGCACCTGTAGTCACACGTATCACATGCATAGCGTTTCTCTCCTGTATGAATGCCCTTGTGTTGCTTAAGAGAATTGGATGAAATACTTTTGTACTCGCATTTGTCACATGCATAGGGCTTTTCACCCGAGTGAGTTCGAAAGTGCTCCTTCAGACCACTCAAGTGAGAATATGAATATGAACAAATGTCACACACGTAGGGTTTCTCTCCTGTGTGAGTGCGCTTGTGTGACTTAAGACGGTCTAGTTGAGTGCACCTGTAGTCACATGTGTCGCATGCATAGGGTTTCTCTCCTGGGTGATTTCGAAAGTGCATCTTCAAGCAACGTAATGTAGAACATGAATATGAACAAATGTCACACACGTAGGGTTTCTCTCCTGTATGAATGCGTTTGTGTTGCTCGAGTGTAGCCATTCGAGAGCAGCTATAGTCACACACATCACATGTGTATGGTTTCTCTCCTATGTGAGTGAGCTTGTGTTTCTGGAGAGTAGAGGATGATGTACATTTGTACTCACATGTGTCACATGCATAGGATTTTTCACCTGAGTGAGTTCGAAAGTGCACCTTCAGATCACTTAAGCGAGAACATGAATATAAACAAATGTCACACACGTAGGGTTTCTCTCCTGTATGGGTGCGTTTGTGTCGCTTGAGTTTAGCCACTTCAGAGCATCTGTAGTCACACATATCACACGTGTATGGTTTCTCTCCTGTGTGAGTTCGCTTGTGTGCCTGGAGAGCAGAGAATGACGTACATTTGTACTCACATGTGTCACATGCATAGGGCTTTTCGCCTGAGTGAGTTCGAAAGTGCTTCTTCAAGCATAGTAATGTTGAACATAAATGTGAACAAATGTCACACACGTAGGGTTTCCCTCCTGTATCACATGTGTATGGTTCCTCTCCTATGTGAGTGAGCTTGTGTTTCTGGAGAGCAGAGGATGATGTACATTTGTACTCACATATGTCGCATGCATAGGGCTTTTCACCCGAGTGAGTTCGAAAGTGCACCTTCAGATGACTCACGTGAGAACATGAATATGAACAAATGTCACACACGTAGGGTTTCTCTCCTGTGTGAGTTCGCTTGTGTGCCGTAAGACTGGATAGTTGAGTGCACCTGTAGTCACATGTGTCGCATGCATAGGGTTTCTCACCCGAGTGAGTTCGAAAGTGCACCTTCAGACGACTCGAGTCAGAACATGAATATAAACAAATATCACACACATGAGGTTTCTCTCCATGTGTGCGCATGTGACTCTTGAGATTAGCAGAGGTAGTGCTGGCATGTGAGCAAACATCACATGCATAGAGTTTCTCTCCTGTGTGAATGAGCATGTGGGTCTGCAGATGCTTCTCTAGTGCGAATCTGTGTCCACACGTATCACACGCGTATGGCTTCTCTCCTCCTGCAGGCGGCACATCTAAGTGGGAAGACTCCATCACACAGGTGGGAAGCTAAGCAGTTTCTTCCCCCACGCAGGTTCTCCCGTCTGTCGTTCGACTTCCTGCGGGGAAAAAAGATAAACGTTAATCACCAACTTCCTTCAGCTTTAGACATTTTTACTGTAAACACGGTTGTCTATATCAATACGATGGAGATTTGCAATGATTTTGACCATCTCCTCCGAATTTTAGTTCATTAATCCACATGAGCACACCGACATCAACTGCACACCTATGCAAGCTGACGTTTCCCACAAGTATTATGGTAATAATCGACCTGTCGTTGGACACCGTGACACCTATGTCCTATTGGAGCCCCGCTGGCACTGATGAGGGATTGGGGGAGAAATATGACCTTGAATTTCGTTTAGGGATATGTTATAAAACTAGAAATGGCAGTTGTCGCCAACTACATGTATCCCCCGCGATCTAGTATGAATGAAATATCTCCATAAGGACGTACAAGGTAGGTAAAGTGAAATAAGTCACAAAGACAAAGGTTTGTTACACAGCTCATCTGCCTCAGACGTGTAAGTATACCAAGTCTGGTTGCGCTAGGTCAATTAGGAGCCGAGTTATAGAGCGGAAGGGAAATATGATCAATTTCAAGGTCAAGGTCAAATAAAGGTCGCAGTGATCTGGTTTTAGTACGTGACACACCTTGTCCGCAGGATGTGTAAGTATACCAAGTTTGGTCGCGCTAGGTCAATTAGGGGCCGAGTTATAGAACGGAAGGGAATTATGATCAAGGGCAAGGTCAAATAAAGGTCGCAGTGACCTGGTTTTGGTACGCGACACACCTTTCCCCCAAGATGTGTAAGTATACCAAGTTTGGTCACGCTAGGTCAATTAAGGGTCGAGTTATAGAGTGGAAGGGAAAGTGTCTGCGGCAGCGGCGGCTGGACAGACATGAAACCATAGTATCCCCGCCGACTTCGTCGCGGGGGATACAGTAACGCATTTTCATGGATTCTAGGTGCCAATAAACTGCTACAGAACATTTTATTTCATACGCGATCTTGTAAATACAAAAACAAAATATGTCATAGTTCAATTAGTGTTTTGAACCAGGTGTACGATTAACATGTAACATTTTTTAAATAAAGGTCATTAAAATTATCGCCCAGTAACATTTACATGTCCAAGTAGGATGTTATTATTTTCATTCATATGGGAAAAAAATGCAAACTTTCATCTTGCGTGGACTTATATTCTCTTAATATTTTTATTGAGCACTTAAGTATATACATGTATACATGTATACTATACATATATTAATATACACATATATAGAATAATACACAGATATTATATCATTTTAAATGCAATAATCTACAATTGCACAATTCACATGCTGGATGAATATAGGTTGACAATATCTGCATGTGAATTCTACCCAACCCTAGCCCGCCCAGGATCAAGGCCTCCCTCTGCATGTTTGAATGATTGAGCCAAGACTTGAGCCACCTAAGTTATCTTTTAGACACCAATGAAAGATTGTGGACAAACATATTTTACGAAACGACGCGGTAATTGGATGATTTCATTATTCAATCGTAATTTAGTGAGCAGCAAAATCATTTGCCAATTGTATTCGCCACTTAGTGTAACAAGAGCCACAGAGCATCTGGGCTCATCTGAGATCTGTTGCTACGGTTATAAACGTAACATTTAAGTCGTGCGTAGTGACACCTTTGTTAGGTGCAGATATGCAGATATGCAGTTGCGTACACATCATTTCAGCAACCTTCTGCATTCTGCATACCTCCCAAATACCATTGGTTGATACAAATCGCGTGCCTGAAACTCCTGTTTTATGGTGCATTGTGACCCTAACCCTAACCTTATTAAAAATAAAAATAATTAATTGTTGTAAAATTTATTTGTTGTTATGAAATTGTTGTAAATAAATCATGTAAATATTTGCGTTAATTGGAAAAAAATAGTTAAATGGATAAATATAGAAAAATACAGAAAACAGGTAAATAATAAAAAATCTGATGGGATTCGATCCAAGGACCTTTGAGCCATAATCCTGTGCTGTAGCCGTTGGGCTATTAAGGCTTATGGATGTGCTATGAATATGAGGGAGGATCAATTTGGGGGTCAAAGGTCAAGATGTGTAAACGGAGGGGGAATATTTCCCCCTTAACTTATGGTATAGGAAGGAAATGCAGAATTGCGGCACAAATCTAAACGGCTCGACCTAGGCTCGTGATAGTCGGTGTACAGCATCATGGTAGGAAAAGCCATCACTGTGCCGAAATTGGAGGTCACAGGTCAAAGGTCAATGGGGCACAGGGCAGATTTTAGACATTTTCTGAGGACATGGTCTGATGGAGCGATTGAAAAACTTTTTTGTTTCAGCGATGACCTACCATATTTATGCACTAAATTGGAGGTCACAGGTCAAAGGTCAATGGGGCA